GGAGGGGTATTCCGGCCACACACCGCCGAGTAGCTCACCACCGTTGTGCTCGCAGGTCGATCGGACAAACAGGAGCTTGGAAGAAAGGAATACGGACTTGCCTGAATATTTGCTTCCCGTACAATTATATTTTCTCTTCCTTCTGCTTGGATAAATAAATAGGAGAGAAAATAAGAGAAGACATAATTATTTCTCACCCACCTTGAAAAAAAAAAAAAAAAAAACTTTTATAGAAGACAATTTTATTTTTATTTTTATTTCTTCCATATTTAAAGGGTACTTTTGGTATTACAAAAAATAATTTAATGTTTTTTTTTTTGTCTTTTTCAATCTCTCTCCATGGAGAGATTCATTTTGAAGATAATAAAATTCTCTACATTTCTTCCCATTTTATCACATATTCCCCCTCTTTAGAGGGTATCCAACCCTTACTCAGACTTTACTTCAAATTTAAATTTGATGAAACATGCCCACTTTTCTACTCCAACCTTAGCATCAAATCCATATGAAATGAGGGAGAGTTACTTTTTTTTCATCAAATCAAGGAGTGCCTTATCTTTTTATCAAATTTGTACTTTGTTCGGAACGAATTAGGATAAAAATTTACTCTTACCGGATGACTGGCCAAATTGATGAAACCTGTTGTTGGAATGCATCATATCATATCGTATCATATCAAGCTTTTCATCAAATTTTTACTTGTACTGGGTTTGGAACGAATTAGGATAAAAATTTACTCTTACCGGACCGACTGGCCAAATTGATGAAACCAATTGGAGTGCATCATATCATATCACATCATATCAAACTTTCCATCAAATTTTTACATGGAAATTTTGAGTTACTAATCCAAAACATGGTTCTTCCCAAATCACCTAATCCTTGTGCTGTCAATTTCTCTTTACTATTACTCTTATCTTTAATGATAAAAATCAGTGATTAGAACGCAGTAAAATGGTCCAGTTAGAGGCACACCAGGTTTGAACAAAACAATCACTGAAAAGATTAGAATTTCTGTTTATTTAAAAAAAAAATCAAATAAGAAATAAATTACCTGGAACACCGGCGAATCGGAGAGCCTCTTCGATCATACGGATCTGAGCGGAGCGATGATCGGAAAGTAGGGAATCGGTGGTGGTGGTAGAGGCGGCGTTAGGGTCGTAGAAGCCGTGGTGCATGTGGTCTCCCCATATGTTCTCCCACAACCCCGATGATTCGTCGTAGAACTCAGCAATCCCTTTCTGGAGCTGGAGCTTACCTTCCTCCTCAGCCTCAGCCTCTGTGTACACCGCACCTTTCGTCGACGCACTCGCTCTTGAAACTGAAAGCTTCATCCTCTTCTTCTTCCAGAGTCCTATTGATGGCGCCGGTGGTCCCTGAGACAGCGGCGGAGTAGGACCCACACCGACCACTGCGGGGGCAGTTGGGAGGTGAGATGTGGTGCAGTTGTAGGAGCCACTTATCATGTTTAACAAAACTTCCTTCGTACTCCAGGATGGAATGAATACTGAACTTAACGGTTTGTACTGCCTGGCTAGGGGGCCATTTCCCTAAATAAGCTAAAATAATAAATCAATTCTCAAACTAAAGTCTAGTTTGGAAAGACTAAATAAGGGCCTGTTTGGTAGAGTTGTGGGAAAGTGATTATAGATTATAGCTTAACAGATTATAGCTTATAGCTGTGAGTATAAGCTGCTAACCTGTTTGGTGTAGCTGTGGGATTATAGATTTAAGCAGTAGAGTAGTGTTTGGTAAATAAGCTGTAAAATAGCTTTTTGCTGTGTAATTGTCAATTTTGCCCTTATGAAGAGGAAATTTGTAATTTTTGTCATTTTCTTCTGTTTAAATATTGAAAAAGTTATTTCATTAATGGAAATTGATTAATTAGTACCTAATTTGGTACATTTCATTTACCTCTAATTTTTTTTTTTGTATTTATTTTTTTTGTAATAAATATTGAGTTGACAAGAAAACAAAAAATTTAATTGCAATAAAAATATAATAAATTACTATTAAGGCAAGAAAAAGGGCTCTTCATAGATATTTATAGAGCTCCTAATTTCGTCTGCAAATTGACATACAAATATTATGTCTCCTCACTTCCATTTCGTTGTCATCACATGTAACATCATTTCCATGGCGTGCTTGTTAAGACGAAGATCATTCCTCTTCATTAGGCACATAATCTGTGTATCTATCATAAGAGTCAAATGCAATATCGCGGAGCTTACTTCGTTGGATGAAATTATGAATTGTCATTGTTGCACAAACAAGTTTGACTTGGGTCAGCCACTTGTAGTTTGGTGGGATATCCTTTATCATCGGCCATCTTGCTTTCCAAACCTCGAACGTTCTTTCTATTACACTTCTAAGTGAGGAATGTGCTTGGTTGAATTTTTCTTGTGCATTTTGGGGGGGTTGACCATGTTCAAATTGAGCTAGATGGTATCGCTCTCCTTTGTAAGGTGCAAGATATCCTTTCATGTTTGGATAACCAGCATCCACCAAGTAAAACTCATCTATTTTAAAATTTCAAAATAAAATATAAGTAAGAAATTATAAATGTAAAAAGAAATATGTAAAAATAAATATGAAGATGTGAGTGTGGTGCATCTATTGTAGAAATCAAATATAAAACAGTTACCTCCTTGTGGTTTTGGCAAATTAAAACTAGGATTCCTAATTGCATCTAAGAAGATCCGAGTATCGTGTGCACTTCCTTCCCATCCTGGTAAGCAAAATGTGAAACGCATATCAAAGTCACATGCGGCCATTATGTTTTGAGTCACATATCCCTTTCTACCTATTAGACGAGCTTGCTTATCTGGAGATATATATGCTTTGATGTGTGTCCCGTCAATTGCTCCAATACAATCCTATGACATGATAATGAATAAAAAACATTTTAGCCACAGATTAGTATAAATATCCTACCAACATTAATTATATGTAACACCCAAGTTGCGCTTGTAGTTAATTATTTACCTTGAAATGAGGATAATATTTGCGGTTACGTCGAATATATGGATGCACACCATTAGTCGGTTGAGGCCTTATCCAGTCAATGGACATCTTTGTAACAGCCTTTAACACCTTCTTAAAATATTTTGAAATAGTCTCGCCAGAATGTTGAAATCTTTCTTGGACATTTCTGTTTCGAATGTCACCGCCAACAATAAACAAAAATATTGCAACTTGCTCTTCAACCGAGACTTGTCGTCCAGTTTGAAGGCCATAATTTGTTTGTAACAAATTACACAATTGATAAAATACCTCTCTTTCCATTCGAAAATTTTCAAATATTCTTGTCCGATTCCCTTCTTGTAATTCCACCATCCACATCCCTCCTGTTAAACAAGATGTTCTGCATGGTTCTTTTATCAAATAATTTGTTGCATATGTCGCTGCAACTGTAGCCGCCGTAACTAAGAGCATATTATTATTTTGTTGGGTTTGTGATGTGCTGCCTTCATCATCAGTATCTTCATCATCATGGTCATCATTCCATTGGTCTTCATCGTTGCTACTCATCTTTAAAACTGTCAACTGTGCTGGATAAACCATGTTGCAATTTAAAACTTTAAACAAAAACCAATAAATGATAATAAAATATCATAACTTGTCCAGATATACTAAAATCCTGAAGCATTCCTCATATGTTGAATTTTTCTTTTTTATTTTTTATTTTTTCTGATAGAGGATGAAAAAATAAATAAATAAATAAAAATAAAAAATAAATAAGGGGACGGACAAAGTGCCTGAGGACAACAATTCATAAGGAAAAAGACCAAAACTTGTTTTACCCAACATCATGGCTTATTAGAAAGTCCTTACATGTGGTAGTTTAAAATTCAGAATTAAAAGTTATGCCCAGAAGTCAAATGTCAATTAAGCCTATGGACATGAATGGCCATATGAACAAATAAAAAAAAAAAATATGAACAAATGTCATCCATTTATCCATTTCATGCAACCTGTCTTCCATTTATGCAAATAAAGAAATAATGGCCATATGAACAAATAAAAAAAATATGGCCATTAATGTCATCCATTTATCCATTTCATGCAACCTGTCATACATTTCATGCTTTACATTTCAACCTGTTATATGAACAAATAATGGCCATACAAAAATGACATAGGTTAAACATTAAAATGTCTTCCATAGTTAGCTACATTTCATGCAACCTGTCTTCCATTTATCCCAAATAAAGAAATAATGGCCATATGAACAAATAAAAAAAATAACAAATAATGTCATCCATTTATCCATTTCATGCAACCTGTCATACATTTCATGCTTAAGAAGCAATTCCCTGGGAAAGAAGCACTGTTATGACTATGGGACTAAGAAAGTAGTATTCCATCACAAAAATTCCATAGCTACATTTCATGCAACATGTCTTCCATTTATCCCAAATAAAGAAATAATGGCCATATGAACAAATAAAAAACATAACAAATAATGTCATCCATTTATCCATTTCATGCAACCTGTCATACATTTCATGCTTTACATTTCAACCTGTTATATGAACAAATAATGGCCATACAAAACTGACATAGGTTAAACATTAAAATGTAAAGTAAGAAAATTATACCTTCAACTTCAACAAAATTATTACCTGGACAGACTGAAATGTAAAGGAAAAACAATGTAAAGCACAAAAATGAATTGAGTAAACCATTCAACTACATATACATATATATAACCTTCACCATTGACCTACCAGGCATATTCAACTAACATTCAACAACTAATTGCATTCCCCAACCATTCAACAAGTCAACAAGTCAACATGTCAACCATTCACCAACCATTCAACAATTTAGTCCAACATAATTTAATAAAATTTGAAATAATAAGTCCACAATTAAAAGTCCAACTAGTCAATATTCATAAAAGGAAATATTAGGGAAATATTGCAATAGTCCACAATTACTAAAATAAGAAGTCCAACAGAACACTCCACAATTAATAACAACGGGACAGTCCACAATTAGCCGCGATAACCTGTGGTGGCCTTCTCCATCTCAATCTCCAACTTCAGAAACTTAAGGCGAACTTCATCCGTAGGAAGACTCATGAAACACTCCCGACGCTTGTCTCGTAAGAATAATCGGGCGGCCCACACATACAGGTCATCATCTGGGGACACACCAGGGATGTTTTCCAACATCGCCAAACAATCTGCAATTGAAGGATATCTTGATGAGGTCTGTGTTGAAGTTCCTGAAGATGACTCAACCACATTTACTATGCGAGCAAGTGTCTTGTTAAGTAGAGCTGCACCAGTAAATTTCGTCTTCTTACTCTTGGTTGATGAAGCAGGTGTGTTTGATGAACGCTTTTTGTTTAACTCAGAGGGATGAATCACCTCCAAAGCATCATCATCATATTCAACATCATGTGGGGTATGAAATTCCTCTACATTGTCATCAACGTCAGGCATAACCCCTGAACTAGGAGTGTATGCCCATTCTCCTGTAGCAGCTGCATCTGAGAATAGTATGTCTAAGTCTTCACTAAATTGCAACGGCATACGCCGAAATTTAGCAGCATCAGGATACCTCTGCAACAATTACAAAGAAAAAAATAAACATTTACAATTATCAAAATTTGGTGCGTTTAAACAACAAAAACAAACATAATAAATATGTACATTAAGCAATTTAAATACCTCCAATTTGTTGGTCCACCACTCATCAGATGCAGATATAGCTCCAGTCAATGTGTCACGGCCTAAGCCGGTCTCACCCCTTAAAAGATTGTTCCATAACAGCCAATCTTTTTTCAACACATCCCAATGGTTTTTCATTTGTAGTCGTTGGTATGTTTTTCCAGTCATAGTTTTAAACGAAGTTATGACATTTTCCCACCCGACCCTATCTAAGTGTGTACCAGGTCTATGTCCGACCTTCACTTGGTCAACACAAAGCTTAATAAAGATTTCATTTGATTTTGCATCCCAATGAGCCTTAATAGATGGTACTTGAGAGGATTTTCCCTTATTCTGCCTATTTTGAGATTGTGTTTCCTGTTGGGTACTCATTCTATGAAACAAAAAAAAAAATTGTTTAACACATACTCATTCATCATTGGTTGCATTAAAACATAAGACTAGTACAAAATAACCATACATGGCATGATTAGCATAAAACATAAGATTACTACAATCGACATCTCATCGTTGGGTACACAACTGAGCAAAAACACACATATCTAAAAGCCACCTTCAATCATTTGAAGAGTAATGCAACTGACAGAACAATACAAATTGTGAGCAAACCCACAACAAGCTGCTTCATAAATGTTACAGATTGCTCAAGCATTTGGTTCTTTACTTTTAGTCCTACAGTCTCGATGTTTTGATCTTCATAAAGATTTGTCTCGTTCCTCAGCCTCTCTACCATCGTCATAGATTTTGGGGTACACCACCTCCAAAATTGACAATTCCTTTTCTCACAATTTACATACAGTCTTCCTTTTGATGGCTTCTCGGATTCGGTTACCCTTATGGCAGCTCTTACACCACACTCACATTTCAAAGCCTCGTACCTCAAATCCAAGGTCTCAGCATTGCAAGCATAGTTACTAGAAGATGACATGCCTCTGTAGTAATTAGGAAGAATTGAATCTACATCCTCTAAAATTGATTAGGAACTTAAAGATGTTATACATGATTATGCTAGTAAATTTAAAAGTGAAGGGGGAAAAGAGTGGTAAAAGAAAGAAGACAAAAAGTCTAGGCATCGCACTTAGGGTTAGGAATGCATCACGCAATCTGAAAGAAGCTTCAAAAGCTCTGGTTATTCTCTAAAACTGAACTGTATTGAATGAGAGTCATTACATGGTTTTAGGCTTTACAGAACTCCTTGGCCTAATTTTGTGTAAACTATCTAATTTTGTGTAATTGAGCTGTTCATGTTCCGAGGAAAATGCAACCGGAAGCACAAGAATTTAAAATTTCAATCTTTTGTTTGTTTCTGGTTTTTTTTCTCACAACCAAACACAGTGTAGTTGAAGTTTATTTTGGCTCTGTCTTCGTAAAATGATGGATTTATTTACAGATACTTAGTACTAACTTCCAATCAGGGGAATTTATCACTGCTCATTAGTTGCAAATGATTATTGTAATTTAGATTGTAAATGATTATTTGCAGCAGCAGTTTTTCAATTCTAAGTCTAATTTTGTGGACAAAGATATTTTTTTTAATATTTAATTTTCGTTCTATTTTTCATGTGGAACATCATAGATTTTTAATCTCCTATTTGACGATATTAATGTATGATCAGTAGTATTGGGTGCCTATGAGGTAGATGCCAGAGTTTGGTGTATATTTTATATGATATTTTACTTGTAATTGAGGGTATAATTCTGGTTTCTACCTTCCTAATTGTTTCCACAATCTGCTTGATGTATTGTTCTGAAAACAGTCATTGGTGACCTTTACAGCCCGTGTTTTGAAATTACCAAAATACTTATGAAATAATAGAAATCCTGTAAGGAAACAACCATATTAATACAATGTATAAAAAAAAAAAATAATAATTGTTAATTAAACATATTCAGATTTATACATTTATCACTAATTCGTATAAAGGAACAATGTAAAAACAAAATGTTATTCATAATACGAACCAAACTGTGTATATGATTCTGCAAGTCCATAAGATCCTTTGAAAATAAGATTTGCAAATTTACTAAGATAGTAGTAATAATAGTATTTCTGTACTACTATCTTTTTTTCTTTTTTTTTCCCTTCTTCTCAAAAGTTAAAAAATAAAACATATCTGAGAGATTCCAAATTTGTGTCAACACAACTTATTGATTTGCTAAGTTAGTTGCATTTTGATGAATGACAGAAAAATAAAATCAATATATACATATAAAATCAACACAACAGAGCATAAATTTCTGTTTATCTTCAGATCAAGTATACATATTATCTTCATTAATAATCAGAGCATACATATTAATAAACAGAGCAGACTGTGCTTCGAGAGAGAGAGAGAGATGACAGATAAGGGAGAAAGCAAGCCAAGGGCAAGATGGAAGAGAAAATTTCAGACGGAGAGGGTGAATCGAAGGAAGAAGATGCAATCTGTCTGTAAACCCTAGCTGAAATGTGTGTGTGTGTATATATATATATATCACAAACAAAAGCCAAGAAGATGCGATCTTACCTTTCGTAGTGCAGATCTTGGAGAAATCTTCGAGAAATTTCGACTTCGATCGGCTGATCTTCGAGAGATACGAAGGCACGTCTTCGTCGCCAAGAGGAACTGAGAAGTCGAGTGTGAGGAGAGGAGTGGGCTAGGGCACGACGAAAGAGGGCTTATATCGTGGCATAACTGTAATTGTTGAAGTTTTGGAGGGGCATTTAAGTCATTTCATGCCCCTCCAAACAGCTGCGCGCTTAATCTGAAATCAGAAGCATCTCCGGAGCAACTTCGCAAAAATGGCTTAAAATGAATTTTTTTAAGCTATAATTTGCACCTTTAATTTTTACCAAACAGATCAGAATGGCTTAATTTAAGCCATAAGTTGAAATAAGCTGAAGTTAATTTTTACCAAACAGGCACTAAGTATACTTTTTAACTTTTTATGAAATATAGGTTGGGTTTGGATTGGCTTTGAAGTGATGTGTTAGAGAGGTGATGTGACTTAAATAAGATGATGTGACTTAAATAGGATAGTGACTTTTTGACTTTTTGTCTTTTTTCAATCATGCCAAACTTGGCCT